GCCAAGGACCGGACCATTTATTCGGCCGAAGCCTCAAAATTAACCCTTGGCAGATTTCAATACGATTTACTGTATGCCGCACGCCCTCAAACGAATATAAGATTCACTTCGGCTCATTTGCATCACCCAATCAGAACTCACGAAAGGAGCTTGGTAATGATAATAATAATATCCTTATTGCATAATCGTATTCTTATTAACTTATTGACTAAGAAAAAGAAAATCACAATAAAGACAATAAAGACGAAAATGGCGGAATCAAATAAACATGTTACTAGCTTTTTCTCTAAACGAGCTTACTGATCATCGAAAGAAAGCGCTTAGAGGAAAATAACGTGTTTGTTACAAACACAGTCACAACGAAGACCGAATCGAACAAGTCGATATGTTATCAGTTTCGACTGTTTTGTTAATTACTAAAACACAGTTTGAACAAATATTTAGACATTCCTCATTCACTTGCCCACAAACAATTTTCAAAGTTGGAATAAGAAATTTTGAAAACGTGTCAACGAATATAGACCTTCTGTTCTTGACTCCCGGTGAATCAGCAAAACCTACACGCCGCCATTGTTTAAATCTGGATGAGCTCCTCGATCTTCAAATTTATGATACAGCAACTCTGATTGGTGGCGCCAGTTCTTTGGCGCGCCCAATCAAATGACTCAATTTAGCTGCAGTGAAATACAGCGTTTCCTAACATGATCACACACGGGTTCGTGGGCCGGTTATGAATGGCCGGCTTTAGCGAAACTCTGCGATTCGGACGATGCAGAAAGGCATGACTAAGATTTGTCATCATCATTATTTATTTGCATTTGCACTGATTTGAAATTTCATTTCACTTAGCATTTACATCGTGATTTTTGAATTGTATTGATATATTTTTGCTCTGGTATTTTGACTTTAGTAGTTGCGTAACACTTTCAATTGCAATTTCACCCCTGTTATTCCACTCACGGAATATCACACAAATATACGATTTTCGATACATCTTTAATGATTTTAATTTCACTTATTAAACATGGTCGGTATTTATCGCCCGGATGAGACACGTTCGGCGATGACATCATAGGCAACGAAAGTGTCTATGATTGGTTAAATATAATTAGTATAATCCCGATATAATTAGCCACCATTCACTTCCTGTCAAGCACAGGATTAATAGTTTAAGACGCTGTTAGTCAGGCTAATCACCGAAGAATATTGAAATGTCAAAATCAAAATCTCAACGCAAGCCAAAATTTCAGTGCATGCTAATTTTCTTAAAGCGCGGTAGTCGTCGCGCGGCGCATGTGCGAGATATATGGGTCTCATATAAACAAAGATGGCAACTTTGACTGTTGCGCAGATCAACGAGTACGAACTGACACGTTTCCAAGCTTTAATTAGGTAATTTTCATGTGATTGGAAGGTATCGAAGTAGTCACGGGCGGTAATTAGTGCAAGTCCGAGTCGCGCCCAGGTCAAACCTCATACTTGTGATTTCCATTTGAGAAGCGCATTGGATTGTGGGAAAATCAATGTTTATCAACACAAATGTCAAACATGCGCAGCGCGATGACTACCGCGCTTCAACGTCTAACTGTAATTGCTTTTACCGGACATAGACGCTTGGAATCGAAATTCGTACCACGACCTCCATAATAAAAATAGTGAGCTTCATCATTTATTCCGTGTACGTTATTGTATTCATGGTCGAACACGAGATTGTTGACAAACTTGAAAACCGAGTACATGTAGTCAACCTGTATAGACTGGCGCCCTCTGGGGACATCATTCTCCTCAAACTATTATTTTCTAGAACCTAAACCCAGTCTATGTGAATTATATTTTGTAACTGTATGTAGACATTCCCATGTTTCAAAAACATAGAAATAGCGAACGACTTCACACCCAAACATCGTTTTCGCTTCTATAGACGGTACTCTGATTGAAGCACTTCCATCTACATGTTCATTGCAGTGTCCCACCGTTCGAGCTCAATACTTACTCAACATGTGACATAACCATAGTTTAGCTGTCTTCGATGTCATACCACGCTATTGGTTAGAGTTACACCAAACATCTAGTATGTCAGTGATGGGGCACGGGGGGGGGGGGGGGGTCGAAACCCTTTGTGTCAGCGAAATTTACCCCTCAAAATGCAGGAAACAGATTTCAAACTTTGTAAGGGGGTGCATGCTCAGACCTCCTAGTAAGGTCGCGTCTTCGGCGCTAGGTTGGTGAGAAGACCTCGCCCTTTCATGTAACATTTCGTGCCGCCGCCCCTGTTTGTAGAAGATTTAATCTGATGTATTTACAACTGTAATCAAAGATAGATAAAGATGTACATATAAGGACACACCAATTTAAAGGGCGCCAGTCGTCGCGCTGCGCATGTGCAACATTTGTGTTTATAAACATTGATTTCCCACAATCCAATGCGCTCCTCAAATGGATCACAAGTATGAGATTAGACCTAGGTGCGACTCGCACTAATTACCTCCGGGAATTCCTTCATTACCTTCCAATCATATAAAAAATACTTAGTTAAAGCTTGGTAACGTCTCATTTTGTACTCGTTGATCTGCGCAACAGTCTAAGTCGACATCTTTGTTTATATGAGACCCATATATCTTGCGCATGCGTGGCGCGACGACTACTTTAAATAAATGTGTAGTGAAAAAAATCGATGAAATCCAGTCTGCCTATGTTCCACGCACGCGTCATTCGAGCTTGCTCTGACCAATAGCACCGCAACACTATTACCAAGGAACATAATTGCCATCACCGCTTTTCATTTATTTATTGGTATATGATTCAATATCCATGTCCGCTGGTTGGTAAGCGAGAAAAGTTCGATAAGTCTTGTTTTTCTTAGAACACTATCATTGTGTACATGTAATATGTATCGATCGCATAGATTAACTATTTTTGAAGTTCTATGTTCGCTGGAAGGTGACTGAGTTGCTACTATGTGTCCCTAAGGTATTATGAGTGTTCAATGTCTATCACCATCATTTTCTTGTCTCATGGTGGAGAATAGGGCCAATGTCTATCATATTGTCAAGTAATTGGCTAGTACATTTGGGTATCATGAAGTATTGAATTCTTGCTAAAAGTTACGTAATTAATGTTGGTGGTCATTCGCAGTTTTTTGGGTGAATTATGTTTCTGTTATGAACTACTTCAAGTTCTATATTTTAACATAACGTGAAAACGGTTTAACTGTCCAAACAAAATTACTATTTTAAGAGAGCAAAACGAATTTGAAATCAAAAATGCCCATCGCATTTTGTAGACCTTGATAATGCTTTTATTTTAATCTGAATCTGAATCTTCAATGGTTCTTATATAGCTGTGCCATGATTGCTGCAACTTGTTATTACGAATTGACAGTATTCCTCAAATGTAATTACATCGTACATTTGATGTAGTCAGTATATGCTAAATATTTCCTTTACACAACTAAATAACAGGCTATTAATGAAATATTGAAGTTAAGATATAACTGCAAGCAGTAATGTTGGGGAAAGTACATGTTTCGCATAGTTATGTACCAGTACGAATATCAACTTGGTCAACAAGAATGTCAGTTGAATAAAGACAAATGTTTGGCTATAGCGCCCTCTAGCAATTGTGGGGAATTAGCTTTATTTGGAATCCTCTGATTGGATGAAAGTTTGAGAATTAGCCTGTCGGGCTCAAATAAGCATGAATTTGACAGGGATGTGATGCTTATAATGCACCAAGCTGTTTTAATTGTTTTTGTGATAGAGTTCTTGAATTATTCCTGTCAAATTTATTGTTCTCTGGAAGCATCAAAATAATGTTTCCCTGTAAATTAGACTTATATTGATCAAGACATTTTTAAAATTAGAGATGTTAACTCCCCTCAAGTTATGATCTGTGGTCCCTCAATAAGAAAATGGTTGCATCTATTATTAAAAAAATCAAAAAAATCAAGTCTGTGCACTGCAGATTACTTGGAGCAAATAATGACCTTAGATAGTTAGTATTTATATGCCTGTGTGTTGTTGTTTTTTTCAATGTCTTTGACTTTTTCAATATATTTGTGGCTACTCCTTGCATATTGAATGTATTAGTGTACTTTTGATTTTTGTGATGTAAGCCGTGATATCTGTTCAGGGTACTCCAGCTGGTCGACAACATTACGGTCTTTTCCAATGCTTCGGTACTAGTCGCTGCAGGACTGTGCTCATTAATCGCAGTTTGGGAAATGTTCTCTTCAGGACATTGATTGTGACGTGGTTAGACACGCGTGTGCCTACAGTGGCGAGGCGCTTACTGTGATTACCAGTTAGAGTCATGTGTGTTGTGTATGTTTCTTAGCTTGTAATTACATTTATATTTCTGATGAAATAAATATTCATTGCAACATAAAGCATAACATAATAACTGTATGTAAATGTGGAAAACCTAGTATGCTCAATATTACACAATTATCTAAATAAATATTAGAACACTTATTTGGGGGCATCCCGGACTCATACTAATCGAACTCGTTCTAGCAAGTTGGGAGCTCCTGGGTCATAAATACAGTACCATGCCAACCACAGTCAGTACCAATAAATATGTGATAATTACAAGGTTCCAACTGATAATTTCAACGTTCGTGGTAAGATAATTATTATTTTTCCGTTGATTTCCCCCTCCCGGGGAATTTTGACATTTATCGGGCACCAACCAATCGCTGCGCCATTCAAAACAAGAAAAAACTAAAATCAGATAGCCAAAGATATTAATTTCTAACGACACTGTTAAGTAAATCTGTCTTTTAGAATTTTCAACCGCATTTGCTGGACGAATGACAATGTCCTTTAAAACAGTGTTACGTTTAATTTTCTTCGTGACGTTCAGTATCGTTCCTTCAATGGCCTTACTAAAACTTAAACTAGGATTCCTAGCTCCTTGGACAAACACTCAAATAGCGAAGGATTTCAGTGGAGCAACCAGTGCAGTGGGCAATAAACATCGCCATTGATAGAATTAAAGAGATGGATCTAGTTGAAGATCTCGAATTCGAGTAAGTGAATTTCTTTATGTTTTCATGTTTATACAAGCTATATTCAGATTTAATTCGCATACAAAGACGCAGATTTTGACTAATAGTAATCGAATTCTGAATCCCAGGAGAATGGGACAAGATTTATCATTCCAGCTAGGAAAATCTATTCGAATGTCGACGTTTCAAATTTAAGGGTATGTTACACCACATCACAAATTGTAATCCTGATATGTCCATAAAGCTAGAAATAAATAAGCAGTAATATTCTTTCTTTCTTTCATGCATAATATCATCCTATATGAATATATGAAACGATCTTAGGGGTGTTATTCGTAATGTTTTAGTAATTGTGCAAACAAATAACCTTGCTTTTTTACACAGACCCGCCCATTTTACACACAACTGTTTGTATATTGTTTTTGAAATCCCCATTTATTAACTACTTTGCTTTATGGAATTCCGTGGTTTGAAAACTCATATACATTGTCAGACAATGTTTTTATACCCGTATACAGTTTTCATATTATAACTTTATATTATATTTAATCACCAGTAATTTGTTTGTTTGTTGGCAAGGCCTATATTTCCGATTCTGTGAGTCAGGTAGAGCGAAACAAATATGGCATTTGACAATGCCGCCAATTATGAGGGTTTGACCGTTATTCATCGATGTTTTATTCAACCTTTTTCATATTTCGTCCGTCACGTGCTTAGTAAAATCTCTGATGTCTACGATAAGATAACACAATGAATCTGATCAAGGCGATTGTTTATTTTTGAATGTTAGAAATTCAAGCCAATCGCAGTTTAGTATTTTCATAACATCCTAGAACAGAATACAATATTTTGGGAATTGCCATCGTAAGAATAATAAAACAATCAGTAATAGCTATTGATAACTATGATACATATGAATTATTAGTTAGTAATTCTAGTCTTTAGTGACTATAGAAAATGTCCAATATGTCTATGTTGGTGTAGAAGCATGTTTCTTATAGTGTTATTTTATTATTTTTCCTAAAATAAATCAGTTTAACATCACGCGTTGTTGTCTCAATCCCTTATTTGTTTTTTGTATATTTTGTTCCTTATTTGACCAAATCAACGCATTTATAATAATCTTTTGTACTTGTATTACAGAATTGTAACTCGTGATTCGTCATGTGACAGCAAACAGGCTGCCGGGTACACAGTCGATATGCACCTCAAAGAGCACGTTGACGTAATCATTGGACCACCATGCTCCACAGGTAAGTTCATACTTCTAGTCACCAATGTCTGAGTGGTAGTACAACAAGGTGCCCATAACCCCAGATGTAGCTTAAAGGGTGCTGATCGTCGCACCGCGCATGTGCGACATTTGTGTCATTCAATATTGATTTTCTCACAGTTCAATGTGCTCTTCTTATGGAAAATATAAGTATAAGTTTTGACCTGGGTGCGACGTGCATTAATTACCGCAGGTGAACACTTCGATATTTTCCAATCATTATAAAAATAATATAATTAAGGATTGATAATGTCGCAGTAATCGTTAGTCTGCGCATCAGTCAAAGTCGCAATCTTTGTCACATAAGACCAATATTTCGCGCATGTGTGGCGCGACGACCACCGCCATTTAACAAAAATGGCTAAAACACAATTTCATTTCACTTACCGGGGAATACAAAACTTTCACAGCCAACAATCCTTTGGGGTAACATTGAGCCAACTGCTAATCAAATTCGATCGCAGTCGCCGTTTTTGTGTGAAAATACGAAGACCATAGAACACTTACCCGAGGTATAGCCATCCAACACATGGGCCAATCAGCGACGGCCTTAAAGTGAATCGCATTTATTTTGTTATCACTTGTACGCCAGCTGACTGTGTGGTATACATGCCATTTACACTACAGAATTGTTGTGAATTCACCACAACATCCTACAGTCTCGAACTCGAAATGCTCATCCACTCCTTAGCTGCACCCCAATGTGAATGTTTCTATGATGTTTCCTTATATTTCAGCCTGTATGATATCTGGACAGTTGGCAGCATTTTGGAACATTCCAATCATATCATGGGTAGCTACATCACCAGCCTTCAATGATAAAAACATCTACAGCACCCTCGGACGTTCACTCGGACCATTCACTAAACTTGGGGTGTTTCTGATGGAAATAATGGCTAGCTATAATTGGAATCGTGCTGTCATTGTATACTCTACATTTTTGTTGTACGGGGATGCTGGTAAAGCAATTGAGAAGGTAAGAACGCATTTAATAGAGAAAAGATATTTCCTAATTCTGTAAATCTTTCGTTTTTAATATATGAATGCATCTTAAAATTGCAGACATTCAATGACAACAATGTGACTCTACCGTACGTGGCAGTATACAACAATAATCCTACACGGAAGAAAATTCAGTCAATACTCAACAAAATAAAGAAAGAAGGGAGAAGTGAGTACATTCAAGTATGCATTGTAGTGAGTCAACCCAACTTGTTCCGAAATATATTAGCCAATTAACAACACCGTAGGACTGATTGTGACCACTGGTTAAAAACAAACAATATAATCATTTCTTACATTTAAACATGGGCTACAGATATACTGTGTATGTGTATATGTGGGGGGGGACTGATCCACTATAAACTTGATAAATTAGTTACTCACTATGAACTAATAAATAAATACATATCTCTCTAAGTTATTGTAATCTGCGTACCACAAGAAGATCGTCGAATGTTATTACTGGAAGCCTATGATATGGGGATGACAAAAGGAGACTATGTATTCTACACTGTTGAGATGTTACCAAGTGATGACGTCATCACGGCACAGGAAACCTACCTCGGATTTGATGGGAGAAACGATGACGCAAGAGAAGCATTTGAATCAGTATTTCACGTGAGTCAAGTAACAGTTGGAATAGTATTTTTTTGTTGGACATCAAATTTTTTTTAAAGAATTTTATTGCATTGCTCAATTGTCAATTCTATTGAAAACAGTCAAAGTAACATACGACATACTATTTGTCATTGAACTAATGATATATGTATACCTGACACACGATACTCTGGCAATAACAAGTTAATGTACTCTATGACTGACTGTTTATTTATTTATTTATTTATTTATTTATTTATTTATTTATTTATTTATTTATTTATTTATTTATTTATTTATTTATTTATTTATAATTTATTCATTTATTGTTACTATCTTCATTCTCAATTTCAGATGTCGTTGGCAAGACTGACAGGAGCAGATGTTGACATGTTTACAAAGGAAGTTGCCAGACGTGCACAGGATCCTCCATGGGGGCTTACATTACCAGCAGGTGTACAGGTAATGAAATATAGTACAATAATTGAAATCAGAACGTCACGTGACATGGCTACTGTTTACAAATGTAGATATAACGATAGCCAACTGTTGGTACATGCAAGTAGTTTTAGAGATAACACACCAGAAGGCACCCACTCGAGCCAGCACACATTAGCCACAGATTACCAAATTACTTATCTCACCAATACTTGAACCCTATTGTATGTATTCCTATGACAAAACACATTTATCATATCTTTATTTTATCTGGCAATGGCGAAGAATCTATCACAAATTAGTGATCTATCCTAATATCTACTCGTTTGATTTATGTTTAAAAAACGTTTAAAAAAATGTGTCATCAACTTTTCACATTACAATGACTTTATCTTACAATAAATTATCATTTAACACTTTTTTGTTTCCATGGAACGCAACCCATCTTAATATGTCATGAACATCGATCATTTACTGCTCATTAAATGGACGAAAAGTCATTCCAAAAAAATGAAGTTCCCATGACAACCATAATCACATCTCTATCATAATGAAATTTGTGGAACCATGTGTGAAGGGGAATTTCACAAAAATCCAGCAACAACATTTTGAATTATAAATGAAATTACAATTCAAATAGAAAGCGCCTGAACAAACAAACAGACAGACTATACACTAAATTGTAGTCACCCCGTGATAATATGACACAACCCTTCACCCTCCCCGTGGCTTTCGTTGCATATGGAAGTTATTTTCACGAGTGATGCGGTGTATCCTGCGGCCGTACTTTCACGAGAGAAGCGAATACACCGCATCTCGATGTTGAAGTCTGTCTCCTACAAAAACAGTTCTAGTCCATACTTAATTTTTTCAATATTTTCGTAATTGGTACTAATTACATCATAAGTTGGACCATGTGCAGAGTCCGAGTCTATTAGTCAAGCTGATTTCTGACCCTGCTAACGCGATTCGATAAAAAGATATATAGTTATTAAAACGTTTCTATCTGCAAAGAAGAAGTTTAGTATTACTTACAAAGACCACACTGTGTTAGTATTTTTTGAAATGTGAGTCATTTTAAATTTACACTTACTTTCTTTTCCGAACGAAAACTGATATACCACATCCTTCAATTTGAAAATTAAATACGGTTCAGCCTCTTTATTCACTGCATTTAAATTCAGGCCATGTGCATGTACAACATTTTAATGGACTGCACGTGTTCACCAACCATATAATACATCACGTGGCCAATTTTGTCATACAGCACCTTTCAATGACTATATCATCATTATAGCTACACACATAAGATTATTGTCACTGTAAACTGTAAAGCTGATACATTTGAGTGTGTAATGATTGTTCCTATTATTTGTTTATTCGTATGAAGTTGAATTCCTAATAGCATTAGTTAAACACACACAGCACAAAAACAAATTCATATTCCGATATATTGATGATGTACTTTCCATAAACAATCCTAAATATAGAGATTTTATTCCAAAGTTATATCCGAAATATATCTCTTCATACTTAAATCTGCACTCTGGTAAGATACTAAATAAAAAAATGTTCCACAGCAATGGCCCCATTTGCTTTAAATATTTACAAGAAAGAGTATTATGAAAACAAGTTTACTGTGTAAAAGTTTCACACTAACTTTCTGACACAATACCTGACACTTACACATCATATATTCTAAAATGAGAAGCATGAAGACATGCTGCCCATCAAAGTGGACGACTCACCACATGTTTTATATGTTTTTTTAAAGGGCAATAAATATTCAGCGTTTCTTTATGACGCCATTATTCTTTATGCACTGGCACTCAATGATTCTCTATCCAAGGGAAAGGATCATACAAACGGAGTAGATCTCCTTCAATCAATGTCAAATATGTTCTTTAAAGGTATGGTGCGGTTACTGATGTTGTCATGTTTGTCATGTACAGCACATACACATTCTCTATTTTTCACATATTTTGGATCACTTAAACAATTTACTGAATTACAATAGACAAACTGTACAACCAAAATACAAGTAATATGATTGTAATATGCAAATGTATTTGGGCACTTTTATAACTAAAGGTATGACTGGAATGGTCATGACGGATGCTTACGGTGACAGAGAACCAGATTATTGGATTACTGATTTACAGCCTAATGGAGTTTTTGAGAAAATAAGTGAAGTTGTTAATTTAGAAGACGGTACCCGGGTGAGAAAATTTAAAATAAACGATTATAAAATTGAACATGAGTTTAAATAATTAATATGATTCCTATTAATATTCTTAAACTGACTTTGATTGTAGGAATTTCGACAATTGAGAGATCCTCGTTGGCCAGGTGGTAAAGTGGGACACCAGTACGCACCGCCTGATGTACCTGTGTGTGGATTTAATGGAGAATTCTGTAAGGAAGATGATAGTAAGTAACTAGCAATAATGTAGCATTTAACAAAATATGATATATAGTACTTTTACTTCAAGTATAGGTTAAATAAAAAACAAATAATTATTAATCGCAATTTTGTTTGTTTTGCAGATAGCTATATTTACATTGTAGGGTTTATTGCAGGCACCATTGTCATCGTCATGGCAACGATTTTATTTGTCTGGCTGTACAGGTCAGTGTGATGGTTTATGTTGATTTATTCAACTGATATATATGTGCCCTTGGTTGGCAACTCTATACAAACTCTAAGAATACACAA